CCTGAATGCAAATCTTTTGCTTCCCTAGGCTATGAAAGGTGTAATCTGATTGTCTTAAAAAGTTTGGTTTCCCTTTTTTGCGTTAGTTTAATTCATTTTCTTGACCTGGTAATTGGCATAAAGCTGTTTATCAACAAATTGCAATTTATATATGTACTGTTGCTTGAATGCGCTTGAGTTGGGTGATTGGAAGCAGCCAGGGAGGGGAAAGAGATAGATGTAGACTTGTGATATTTGTCGAAGTATGATTCCTAGAGCTAAAAAAGTTATTGATTTTTAAATAACTTCTTAGGGTAGAAAGAATACATTCTCTGGGGGCATCCCTAGGCAAATGAGTAAACAGCAGTGGCTGAGCAGCTAACTGATTTGACTGGCATAGAAAGGCATCTGCCATGATTATAGATTCCTTGTTTGAACCACTAAGAGAGTGATTAGAAAGTTATGCCACAAGGGAGAAGTAGTCCAGTCTACAAAAAGCTAGTAGGGGACTAAGAGGATTGGGGAGGAAAGAGGAGGAAGAGCCATGACTCGCCAGCCATATGTGATTGCTCACTACAAGGAATACTACTTGTACAGGAAGAAGAACTTGATTTTCTCTGAATATGTCAGTCAGTCAGCTATCAACAAGCATTTATTAAGTGCCTACTACATGCCAAGCACTGTGCTCAGCTCTAGGGATACAAAGAATAGCCAATAAACAGTCCCTAGTCTCAAGGAGCTAATAGTCTATGACAAGATAAAACATGTCTAGGTATTTTAAATAATTTTATAATTGTTACTGTCCAAAAAAAATGTAATGGGCTACCTTGTGAACTTTTAAAGCCCCTCCCTTCCAACTCTAAGATAATACTATTTGATTTTGTAGTTTACCCAGCAATTCCCCATAGCAACAGAAAAAGATTACAGTGAGAATGATGCTTACAGCTGGATTGGGGACTGTGGCTACCACCAAGGCCAATCTGCTAGCCTCATGACTTACTGTATGTGAAGATAAAGTAGACAGCTACCTTCACACTGTAATTTCAGGATTTTGATAAGGCTTTCTCTACCTCTAGATAATCTTGTGTTGTAGTGCTGTCTTTCAAACCCTTTTCCATAAATACATTAGCATGGAATAGTTCATTGAACTGGTTAGGTATCACCTTGTCATCCTAGCCCTGAGAGAATAAGATACAGAACAAGCCCCCATTTGGGGTTGGGGGGGGAGACTCTATTAACTGCCACTGTGGGAACATGATATAAAGAGAACTGGGCAAGGAAGAGCAGTCACACGGAAATAGTATACTGTGCTGTGGGAGACCTGGTATAATGCAGGGGTTATTAGCCTTTTATTGTGTTATAGACCCCTCAATGAATAAAACAAATGACATAAGATTACAAAGGAAACTGATTTTATTGAAATGAAGATGTATTTTTTTTCTTATTTGAGTTCACAGACCCTTTGAAATCTATCCCCAGAGACTTTAGAGGTCAGTGGACCTCAGGGTAAGAATTCCTGTGCATAGAGCACTGAACTTGGGAGTCAGGAAGACCTGAGTTTGATACCACCTCAGTCAGATACTTATTAGCCATATAGCCCTTGAAAAGTCCATCTTTGTTTCGTCTCTTAAAAAAAATAGGGTTGCAGAGGCAGCTAGGTGGCACAGTGGATAGAGTGCTGGCCCTGAAGTCAGGAGGACCTGAATTCAAGTCCAGACTCAGACCAAATACTTGACACTTGCTAGCTGTGTGACCCTGGGCAAGTCACTTAACCCCAATTGCCTAAAAAAAATAGGGTTGGAATGGGTTCATGATTTAGATATAAAGGCTATATACTGTAAGCAAACTGAGAGAGCAAGGAATAGTTTACCTGTCAGATTTATGGAGAACAGAAGAATTCATGACCAAACAGGAGATAGAGAACATTATGAAATGCAAAATGGATAATTTTGATTACATTAAATTGAAAAGTTTTTGCACAAACAAAGTCAATGCAACCAAGATTAGAAGAAAAGTAGAAAATTGGGAAAGAATTTTTACAACTAGTGTCTCTGGTTGTAAAGGGCCTCATTTCTCAAATATATAGAGAATTAAGTCAAATTTATAAGAATACTAGTCAATCCCCAATTGATAAATGGTCGAAGGATATGAACAAGCAGTTCTCTGATGAAGAAATTAAAGCCATCTATAGTCATATGAAAAAATGCTCTAAATCACTATTGATTAGACAAATGCAAATCAAAACAACTCTGAGGTACCTCATCACACCTATCAGATTGGCCAACATGACAAAACAGCAAAATGATAAATATTGGAGAAGATATGGGAAAATTGGAACACTAATGCATTGTTGGTGGAATTGATCCAACCATTTTGGAGAGCAATTTGGAACTATGCCCAAAGGGCTATAAAAATGTGCATACCCTTTGACCCAGCAATAGCACTTCTAGGGCTATATCCCAAAGAGATCATACAAATGGGAAAAAGGACCCACATGAACAAAAATATTCATAGCTGCTCTTTTTGTGGTGGCCATGAATTGGAAACTGAGAGAATGACCATTAATTGGAGAATGGCTGAACAAGTTGTGTATATGACTATAATGGAATACTATTGTGCTATAAGCAATGATGAACAGGCAGACTTCAGAAAAATGTGGAAAGACTTGTATGGACTGATGCTGAGTGAAGTGAGCAAGACCAGGAGAACATTGTACACAGTAACAGCAACATTATGCAATGACTAACTTTGATAGACTCAGCCCTTCTCGGTAATGGAAGGATCTAAGAAATCTCCAAAGGTCTCATGATGGAAAATGCTGTACACTTCCAAAGAAAGAACTATGGAGTTTGAATGCAGATCAAAACAAACTAGTTGCACTTTTTTTCTTCTGTTTTGTTTTGTTTCTTCTTTCTGACGGTTCCTCCTATTGGTTCTAATTCTTTCTTACAACATCACTAATGTGAAAATATGTTTAATAGGAATGTATATGTAAAGCCTATATCAGAGTGGAGACATCTTGGGGAGGGAGGTGAGGAGGGGGAGGGAGAAAAACTTAAAACTCAAAAGCTTATGGAAGTGATTGTTGATAAATCAAAATAAATTAATCAAAATAGGATTGGAACGAATGACCTCTTAGGTTCCTTCCACATCTATGACCTGTGATCCTAAGATACGAGTGAGTAAAAGACTAATGCCAACTTGATCTTTGTTAAAATTTTCCTAGGAGCATCCCTGGATATCCCACTTCTGAAATTGACAAGCGAGTGTCAAGTATTTCATTCTGTAGAAGGAAAAGTGACCTCTAGCTGGGGTTACCAGGACCTTTCCAGGGGCTAGAAATGGTGACCTTCCCTTTAAAAACAGGAACATTTGCAGCCATAAGCTACTGGTACTGCTGCCACATTGATGAATTGCAAACAATATTATGCAACACTAGTAAATTTTTTTGTGTGAGATATGCTTAAGGTCAACCCCTTCATGGAGGGCATTTATAGATTGCACAGGGTTGAATGAATGTGCCATTTGATGACTAATCATGATAGTTGTGTAATTAATATCTTCCCTTCAGTGAGGTTAGTAATTTTCTCATGATTTTTTTTTATTTAATCAGGGTCAAACAGCAAGCATAAAAACTTAAGGGCTCTAATGCCCTTTGGTTTTAGAAAAGTCTTTTGTGAAACATATTTATTTAAAAGCTCTTTCTAATGCCACATGTAGTGGCATACCTGCAGCCTCTGCTGTTGGTGAGGCTGAAGCTAGTGGGTCTCTTGTATTCAGGAATTCTGAGCTGCAGTGGGATTAAGTGACTCAGGTGTCTACACTAAGTCCAACATCAACACCAGCATGGTGAGCACCCAAGATTTAGGGGCTGCCACACTCTACAATACTCAAGAAGGAGCAGACTGGTCCTGGTCAAGTATTGTTGTTCAGTTGTTTCAATCTTGTCCAACACTTTATGACCCAATTTGGGGTTTTCTTGGCAAAGACACTGGAGTGGTTTGCCATTTCCTTCTCCAGCTCATTTTACAGATGAGGAAACTGAAGCAAAGAGGATTGAATGACTTTCCCAGGGTCACACAGCTAGTAAATGTCTGAGGCTAGATTTGAACTCAGGAAGATGAGCCTTCTTGACTCCAGACCCAGCACTCTATCCCCTGTGCCACCTAACTGTCCAATGTCAAATATGAAGCAGATCAAAGCTTCCATGCCAATTAGGAGCGGAATCAGGCCTGTGAGTAACTTCACTTCTAATCTGGGTGAGATAGGAAGATCTAGTCTAAGAAAAGAAAAATAAAAGCCCTTTGTAATGTTAGTGTTGAACAAGGAAAAATCCTTGCAATCTAGGTAGGCTTCCTGAATTAGGAAGCTTTCTATAGGAAAGCTTAGCTTCATTCCTACTTCTGGAGGAGACGCTTTTTCTGCCCGTCTTTCATAGCTCTGCGATGAAAAGAATAATAACAATCCTCCACCGTCTCATTTAAACTCTTGTTTGTCCTCCTTTTTGCATGGCTTCTTTCATCCTGTCTAACTGCTGCTGCTTCCCGGTGTTATTACCTAGAGACAGTGTGTCTCTTCTCACCCCACCAGTGGCAAGGCCGCTATTGTCCCCATCTCTGGGAGTAACCGCTACCCCACAACTTCTGTATCTATTGCAAGGGACTTTATTACTTCTAGAGCAGACCAAAAAATCATTTATAATGCCTTTAACTTTTACTTTTGGATTTATCTACACTATTCTTCATACACATTGATAGGGAATTTTTAGATAATAAGTATTCTTGGTAGATGTTAGACACTTGTATGTGTTTCTATGGTTTGCTGTTATTTTGATGACATAATTGTGAAAAGGTGGATACAATGTCCAGAAAAAAAGTAATATCTTTTTGGTGTTCTAATAGAATGATTAGCTTGTCATCCCCTACAATGGAATTGTTATTTTATAATTAACCAAGATCTATATAAAACAAAAGCTTTCATCACAATTAATCTATAATTTATCATTTTTTTTTCTATTTTAGAATTATACTGTTCCTTCTGGTGACATGTTAATGTTGTCTCCTTTTTGAATCCATAGAAATCCAAAGTATTTTCCGGAACCTGAATTGTTTAAACCTGTAAGTTGTCTTTTTTCATTATATCCTGTTACTTTGGTCATAGTTTCTGTTCTGCATTATTCACATATATGATTGATCAATGAATTATGTTATGGTGTTACTCTCTAATTTCAGCTACCCAGGACCTGATAATAAGATCACTCATCCCACAAAAGTATTTTTGAGAAATGGTATCATGCCAGTCAAATAACAGAGATTGGTCATAAAATTCAAAGTGAGCAGTATGTGCAAATTGGAGAGGAGCTTTTCTGTAACTCAGAAATGAATATTTACCTGTGTTTGGAAGCAGATAAGAAAACAGATAGGCCTGGTTCTGTGTTCTCCTACCTACGTCCTTCAATCTGTTTCATTGTGCTGAAGTTGAGTATCAGCATACATAGGCACACACAGACAAACACACATAAACACACACACACACATGCACAAATTCTTTTAGGGAAAATTGTAATCAAATTTAAAATTCTGCCCTGTCCCTTTCAGAATTGCTTAATTTTAGGCCAGAAAGGAACCTCAAAGTGTCATTTAGTCCATCTTCTGCCTCTCAAGACAACTGTCAGAAATGGCATCCAGAGGTATTGACTCAAATTTCTTTGCTTTGACCACCTCTAGTGTCTTATTACCAAGCTTATAATGAAGGAAGATTTTATGTTGGGGCCCGAGACTTTACTATAAATACTCCTGCTTTTATGAGGTTAATTCTTTAGTTGATTTACATTATCATTTACATTTACCACTTAACAGGATTCTTTTTTAAAATCTTTTTTTATTTATAAATTTATTCTTTAGAAACATAATTATGTCTGATATTAATAACAGGTTGGAAAAAATTACTAGCAACACTGCAACTTTATATGCAAGGATTAGCTGTACAAGGTCATTTTTAGCCTGGAGAAATAAAGTTAAGCTTATTTATACAAGGCTGACTTAGGAAAAAATGTTTTCTTCCCACAGGAACATTGGGAAAAGGCAAATTTAGAGAAGAATGCTTTCTTGGACGAGTTTGTGGCATTTGGAGGAGGGAAGTACCCATGTCCAGGAAGGTCAGTGAGACAGCTGGATTGGATTTATTCAGAAATTGTGTTGACAATAACTCAGCTGAGGAGAGCATTTTCTTAATCTTCCTTTACTTTAAGTCTAAATAGATTGTGATTACTTCATTTCTTGTGAAAGTGGTTAATAACAACACTTTTGTCTTCTGGCACTGGCCGAAGTTTGTTCTGATAAAAAAGATCTCATAACTTACAGTCAGAATTGATGTACAAGATTCATGTACCAGGCTTTCATTCAAAAAGAATTCATTCATTTATCCATTCATTCATCAAATACTTATTAAATATTATTATGTGTAGTGCACTGTGCTAGGTGTTGAGGGAAATACAAAGGTAAAATAGATTTGATCTCTGCCTTCAGTGACCTTACAATTCATAAATAAGTCTAGCTGCACTTTAAAAAAAATGTATGTAAAACGTTTCCATATTAGTCATTTTGTACAAGAAAACTCAAATAAAAGGAAAAAAAATGAAAAAAAAAAGAAAGTGAAAAATAGCATGGCTCAGTCTGTATTCAAACAATATCAATTCTTTGTCCGGAGGCAGATAGTATGCTTCATCATTGGTCCTTTAGGATTATCTTTGATCATTGCATTGCTGAGAATAGCTAAGTCGTTCACAGTTCTTTATTAAGCCATGTTGCCATTAGTGAGTACAATGCTCCCCTGGTTCAGTTCAGTTCACTATGCATCAGTTTATGTAAGTCTTTTCTGAAATCATCCTGCTTGTCCTTTCTTATAGCATAATAATATTCCATTACAATCATATACCACAGCTTGTTTAGCAATTCCCCAATTGATGAGTATCCCTTTGATTTCCAATTCTTAGACACCACAAAAAGAACTGCTATAAATATTTTTGTACAAATAGACCCTTTTCACTTTTTTTGGATGTCTTTGGAATATAGCCATTTGAGCATAGTTCCAAATTCCTCTCCAGAAAGGTTGGATCAGTTCACAACTTTAACAACAGTGCATTAGTTTCCCAGTTTTCCCCAGTATCTTCCAACATCCAGCATTTTCCTTTTTTGTCATATTAGCCACTCTTAGGTGGTACCTGAGTTATTTTAAAGCTTATTTCTCCTATCAATACTGGTTTAGAGCATTTTTTCATATAACTATAAGTAGCTTTAATTTTTTTGTCTTAAAACTGTTTGTTCATATTCTTTTACCATTTATCAGTTGGAGAATGACTTGTATTTTTATACATTTGACTCAGTTCTCTATGTATTTGAGAAATTAGGCCTTTATCAGAGATACTTGTAAAATTTCCCTCCAGTTTTCTGCTTTCCTTATAATTTTGGTTTCATTGGTTTTGTTTGTGCAAAAACTTGTACATTTTATTAAATTACCTATTTTATATTTTATAATGTTCTCTATATCTTCTTTAGTCCTAAATCCTTCCCTTATCCATAAATCTGACAGATAAACTATTCAATGTTCTCTTAATTTGCTTATGGTATCACCCTTTATGTGTAAATCATTTTGTCCTTGTCTTGGTATAAGGTTTGAGATGTTGATCTATACCTAGTTTCTGCCATACTGTTTTCTAATTTTCTCAGTAGTTTTTGTCAAATACTGAGTTTTTGTTCCAAAAGCTTGAATCTTTGGGTTTATCATATACTAGATTACTATGGTCATTTACTATAACGTAATTTGTACTTACTCTGTTCCACTGATCCACCACTCAATTTTCCAACTGGTACTAGATTGTTTTGATAATTGCCATTTTATAATACAGTTTGAGATCTGCTATGACTAGACCATCTTCTTCCACATTTTTTTCATTGATTCCCTTGATATCCTTGAGCTTTTGTTCTTCTGGATGAATTTTGTTATTATTTTTTCTAGCTCTGTAAAATAATTTTTTGATAGTTTGGTATGGCACCAAATAAATAGATTAATTTAGGTAGAATTGTCATTTTGTTATATTGGCTTGGCCTCCCCATTAACATTTAATATTTTTTCTGTTGTTTAGATCTGATTTTATTTGTGTGAAAAGTGTTTTATAGTTGTGTTCATATAGTTCCTGGTTCTATTTTGGTAGGTAGACTCCCAAGTATTTTATATTGTCTAAAGTTATTTTAAATGGAATTTCTCTTCCTATGTCTTGCTGCTGGACTTTATTGGTAGTATTTATAAATGCCAGTGACTTATGTGAGTATATTTTGTATCCTGCAACTTTGTTAAAGTTGTTAATAATTTCAAGTAGTTTTTTTTAGTTGATTCTCTAGGATTTTCTAAATGTAACATCATATCATCTGAGATAGTGATAGTTTTGTTTCCTCATTGCCTATTCTAATTCCTTTAATTCTTTTTTCTTGTCTCTTTACTATAGCTAAAATTTCTAGTACAATATTAAATAACAGAGGTGGTAATGGTCATCTTTGTTTCACCTCTAATTGTATTGTGAAGGCTTCTAGCTTATCACCATTACAAATAATGATTGCTGATGGTTTAAGATAAATATTACTTATCATTTTAAAGCAAACTCCGTTTATTCCTATGCTCTCTAATGTTTTTAATAGCAATGGGTGCTATATTTTGTCAAAAGCTTTTTCTGCATCTATTGAGATAATTTTTCTTGGTTTTGTTATTGATAAAGTTAATTATGCTAATATTTTTCCTAATATTGAACCAGCCCTGCATTCCTGGTATAAATCCCACCTGGTCATAGTGTGTGATATTTGTGATATATTGCTGTAATCTCTATGCTAGTATTTGGGAAAACTTGCTCTATAATTTTCTTTCTCAATTTTGGCTCTCCTGGTTTGGGTATTAGCACCATATTTGTGTCATAAAAGGAATTTGGTAGGACTCTTTCACCTGTTTTTCCAAATAGTTTATATAATGTTGTGATAAATTGATAAATAGTTCTTTAAATGTTTGATAGAATTCACTTGTGAATCCGTATAGTCCTGGGGATTTTTTCTTGGGAAGTTCATTGATGGCTTGTTCAATTTCTTTTTCTAAGATTGGGTTAAGTATTTTATTTCTTCTTCTGGTAATCTGGGTAATTTATATTTCTATAGATATTCATCCATTTCATTTAGATTATCAAACTTATTGGCATATAATTGGGCAAAATAGTTCTTAAGAAGTGTCTTAATTTCTTCTTCTTTGGTGGTGAATTCACCCCTTTCATTTTTGATACTAATAATTTGGTTTTCTTCTTTCCTTTTTTAAATCATATTAACCAGTGGTTTGTCTATTTTATTGTTTTTTTCCTTCATAAAACCAGCTTCTAGTTTTATTTATTAAGACAATAGTTTTCTTACTTCCAATTTTATTAATTTCACCTTTGATTTTTCAGGATTTCCAATTTGGTGTTTAATTGGGGATTTTTAATTTGTTCTTTTCTAGATTTTTTATTTGCGTGTCCAATCTCTCTATCTGCATTTTCTCTATTTTACTGATGTAAGCAGTTAGAGATACAAATTTTCTCCTAAGTGCTACTTTGGCTGCATCCCATAAATTTTGGTATGTTGTCTCGTTGTCATTTTCTTTAATGAAATTATCGATTGTTTCTATAATTTGTTCTTTGACCCATGTGTTTTTTTAGGATGAGATTGTTTATGTTGTCTCATTGTCATAATTTTCTTTAATGAAATTGTCGATTGTTTCTATAATTTGTTCTTTGACCCATGTGTTTTTTTTTAGGATTAGATTGTTTAATTTCCAGTTGATTTTTCATCTGTCTTTCCATTATCCATTATTGAATATATATTTTTTGCATTCTGTTCTAAAAAGGATAATTTACCATTTCTTCTTTTCTGCATTTGGTTGTGAGGTTTAATATAGTTTTTGTGTAGGTGCCATGGACTGCTGAGGAAAGGTATATTCCTTTCTATTCCCATTCAGTTTTCTCCAAGGAGCTATTATATCTAACTTTTACAGAATTTTTTTCACTTCCTTAACTTCTTCCTTGTTTATTTTTTGTTAGATGTATCTAGTTCTGAGAGGGAGAAGTTGAAGTCCCCACTAGTATAGTTTTATTATCTATTGCCTCATGTAACTCATTCAACTTCTCCTTCAAAAATTTGGATGCTATACCATTTGGTACATGAATGTTTAGTATTGATATGACTTCATTGTCTGTGGTACTTTTCAGTTATAATTTCCTTCTTTATCTCTTAATTACAACTATTTTTGCTTTTGCTGTTTTTGAGATCATGATTGCTATCCTTGCTTTCTTTGCCACAACTGAAGCATAATAGATTCTGCTCCAGCCCCTTACCTTTACTCTCTGTGTACCTCTCTGCTTCAGATGTGTTTCTTGTAAACAACATATTGTAGGATTCTGGTTTTTAATCCATTCTACTCTCCACTTCCATTTTGTGTGTGAGTTCATCCTATTCACATTTATAGGTACGATAACTAACTGTGTATTTGCTTCTATGCTATTTTTTACTTGTTTATCCCTCCCTCTCTCTCTTATCTCCCACCCTTTGCCTCCTACTTCTGAGCACCACCTTCCCCAATATACCCTTCCTTTTATCAGTCCCTCCTCCCCATTATATTAGGGTAAGATAGATTTCTGTATTCAACTGAGTGTCTATGTTATTCTCTCTTCGAGCCAATTTTGATGAGAGTAAGATTTAAGGTTTGCTCGCCACCCCCCTATCTTTCCCTCCATTATAATAGCTCTTTCATGCCTCTTTTATGTAGGATAATTTACCCTACTCAATCTCCCCCCTCCTTCTTCCAGTGCGATTTTCTTTCTCACCCCTTCATTTTGTTTTTGGGATATCATCCCATGAAAGTTACCTTATATACCCTCTGTCTGCATATACTCATTCTAATTGCCCTAATAGCAATAAAATTGTTAAGAGTTATAAATATTATCTTGCCACATAGAAATATAAAGTTTAAATTTATTGAATCTCTTATGTTTTCTCTTTCTTGTTTCTTTTTTACCTTTTTGTGTTTCCCTTGAGTCTTGTATTTGGAGGTCAAATTTTTTATTCAGTTCTGGTCTTTTAATTAGGAATG